TGCAGTCATTTATTTAACTAATGATATTATACCGATATTAATTTAATATTTATGATATGCAATTTTTTATTTGAGTACGGAAGAACATTACAAGAATTCATGTTAATCAGAAACTAATAAGTTCGTAAGTATATCTTCTAAGCAAAAGGTATATTATTTTAATGTAATCATTTCTTTAACTAATGATATTATAATGGTATTTTAATTTAATGTTTATATTATTTAATATTTCACATTAAGCATTCGTTCAATTATAAAAGAAAGGTATCTGGTATTTTTCAAGTCGATTTAGTTCATGAAAATATTGTTTATTAATTTTAAATTTTTCAAAAATAAAAATAGGAAAAGAAAAACGTTTACCGAAAGCCGAAAGTAGCAAGATGGCTAATAAAAGGAAACATAAGAAGCAGAAAAAGCAATCATGTAAGAATTATTACAAGCTGATAATAAGCCAATATAGTAGAAATAATTTATTAACATAGTATAGTGAATGTGGAATTTATCTCTGCAGCAATTGCTATAGCAATTACCGTACTCCAAAGTAAAGGGAAGGGTAAAGCTAAAGAAAGAAGCCCATCACCATCCGGCTCTAGTAGTGTAAGCACTACTAGTAGTGATAATGAAAGGGGACAAGCAAGTATTGGGGCCAGTAAAAGTAGAAGTGCTAGTAGTTCGAGCACCAGCAGTAGTAGTTCTGATGATAGTGGGTCTCCGAAAGTACTAACAAAGGATCAAATAGCCCATCTACGTGTAATATATTTTATGATTTATTATAAAAGCTTGGATTTGTTAACTATTTGACATTCTAATTGATATAGATATCAGTAAGATATCGGTTAATTTCAAATATAAAATAGGTAACGAGTCCAAGCTCTAATTATTATTATTATCTGGCTCGTGTTTTTTTTTAATAGCTTTTTTTTTTTTTAGGATAAAATAAAAATATTGACAGAAGGAGGTAAGTTGTCTGTACTTAAACCGAACACAAATAATACTTGGTCTTCACAAGTGAAGGCCATAAGGCAGAAGTTAATTCCGGCAATAATAAAGAAATTGCCTGGTTATAAACAATATTCTGGTGCAATTGAGAAGATATTGCAGCAACATCATATGACACAGAAATGTACTGCAACGATAAATGCTAGTCCAATATTAAAGATACTCAATCGTGCCAGAATGAATAAAAATACAAGGGTAAATGAGGTAAGCATAATATAAAATTAGGCATTATATAAAT